CAGGGCCAAAACCAATATCGCCTGCGCGCTATCTGTGAACACACGACCAGTCACCGACGACGCACCTCCATACTCCACAGGCCACCTAGCCGCATCGCCCCTAGGAGGAATTGGTGGAAAACATGAGCGAGGACAGAGCCCACGACTCCATAATCAGGATGCGAGGGCTTGGTCCGGCAGGGCTCTCTGCATTCTGGGTCGAAATCGGCCAGCATGCGCGCGTGTGAGCATTCCAAAGGCACGTGATACAAGGCGCACCGAGATGCCCCACATCGGTAGCAGGATGCGCCCTGACGGTATCCGAATGCTTGTAAATGCGCTGGAGGCCAGAGCCCACCTGTAACTGCGGCACGAAGAGTTGCACATTTCTCGTCCGTGAGCGGCGCCCTGATGTCTTCACCTGGCTCACTATATTGATATGCATCAACTTGGGGATATTACCAAGCATGTGCAGCACTGGTCCGATCCAATATCCGCTGGGAATCTTGGGCCCATCTGCACCTCGGGAGCCCTCTCAGGACAGCGTGACCAATCCGCCCATAAGCGACGCAGTGCAGCCTCTTGAGCCAGCTCTTTGACTGAGAATGTCGCCGCGCCCCTTACGTCGGTTACCCAATCTTAATCCGCGCGCCATGCGAACGCCGACGACGCAGCCCAGCTCCATCAAGGCTAGGAATACTGCACCGCGCGGACCAGCAACGCGCCCCCATGGATTCCTGGACTGGCACTGGGGAAGTATCTGTCGTTGCCAGGCTGCCTGCGTTAGATCGCGCCATCAGTGACCAGTGGGAAATCGGCCCACACCGTGCCATGATCTGGGGATCCTGGCTAACACCTCCACGCATGAAAGAACTCAACCACGCCGGGCCTGCAGCACCTGGTTCGTACCAAGCCGAGCGCATGTTCGATCGCATAGCTGATATCAGCGGCGGCGAAGCCCCATGGACAACAAGCCCGTGCGACATTGCCGATGGAAGGGCTGCCTTGAAGAATCGGCCCAACATCGGCCCGTGTCGCTTCATACATGCAATCCGGGAAAGGCGCTTTGGGATGCTCCGAATGCGCTTGCAAAGGCCCTTGAAACTTAACCCCCATGCCGGCCGCGCATTCTATACCAGAGACTTCAAGTGCCGTGACTGGCCGATAACCATACTTACAAAGACAAGCGCGCACGCGACGCGCCACGCTCATGACCGCACTCGCGACCGTCATTTTGCGACTTGCTGGTTTCAGATCAGCCGAGTGAAGTGCCTGCACTACGCCCTCGAGAAGTTCACACGCGCGCCCAACAATGCGCTGCAGAGGTGCAGTGGCAACCATGGTGAGGTCATTCACGTGCGCGCGCAGGGGCCGGGCGATGACTTGCGTGCTGTCGCGCAGATCATATGTGGGCGTTGCGACCACCAACTGAAGAATAAACATGGCCATGCCACGCCCTGGGGGCACACCACGGCCCGCAGACACTTCAGTAGAGAGCACACTATCCCAAGATAGCCGTCGATATGATCGATGCATCTGGAGAGCGAAGAGAAACAATTGACCAGGGAAGCCGCGCCGCGCGCCCGCCGACGCAATCACAGCCCGCGGCACGCGCCCAAAACACTCCCCAATGCCTACGATGCCATGAGCGGTCACAAGGTCCAGGGGGCCCGCGGGGGCCCTCGCGCGAGCCTCGCCCTGCAGGAGCACCCTCGCCGCCACATCTGTCGCGGCCTTGCCCTCGCCGAGCGTGGCGCGCGATCTCCCTCGCCGAGGCGCCCGCGCACGAACGCGATCTAAGCGAGCCCGGGCCCGCAACCTGCAGATGGAAGATCGGAGGGCTATAAGTCTACATCCAGCTGGCTCAGCGAGCAGCAATATTTGAACGCAGCAGGCCATGGAAGGCCAAATGGCCCATTGCTCGCATAGATACAGCACGCGCCCCAGACATGATGAGGCCTCGTCCGACGCCATGGCACAATGCCTAGGACGAACAACATCCACCCCCACAGCCGCGTTTTTGTTGAAAGTCTTGGCAGAGGCTCTCAGGCGCTGAATCCCCATGGGAGATACACGCGGGACCACAGCCATGAGGTCACCCAGGTCCATCTGGAGGTCGCCAGACACGGAGAGCCCCTCGGAGGTCCCGTCCCAGATGCCATCCCAGAAGCTCTTCTGCACATCCGCAATGTCCATGGCGTGTGAGGATGGGCCAAGCATCGTAGAAACTTGCGGCAGCGTCGTCCCTTTGGCATCGTCCAAGAGCGCATCGCCCTGGCTTGAGCTCGAAAAGACTGGCGAAGCCGTTGGATGAACCGATCCCATCGTCATTTGGCGCAATGGCGTTCCACCTGAGCTGCCCGCCGCGACACTCCGTCAGCAAGAGACTTAAGGAAGAAAGCGTGATACTGTGGAAGATGAGCAAAGATGCCCGCGATGCAGTAGGCGACCCCCTTGAAAACTCAGCATTCAAACCCGACGCCAGCCCCCGGGAACTGCAGTGTAGGACCCCGGACTGCACTGCGCCTGGACTGCGGTGCCTGCCCAAGCCTCCGCGCGACAAACCATCGATCTTCGTCTTGATACTGCAGCGTGCGAGTGGCTCGAGACGATTTGGCCCCTGCTGGGCGCTGGTGTGCTAGTGCCCCACCAGCTGTGGCATGCTTGCGATTGACATAACCACTGCCTCTGCACACATGCGCGCCCAACACCCTCAGGTCGAAGGCAGGCAGCAGCTCCCGCTCGACAAGGGCGCAGATGGCCAAGCTGATCGACACGAGCCCGTCGATCTGCTGGCCGTCCTTGGCGCAGGCGCGAGTCGGCTGACATGAGGTCTGTCCCAGAGACTCCTGGCTGCCTTCTAGCGACTGCATGGGCTGGAACTGCATCTCCATCACCTGGACCATCGGGTAGAAAAGGACGATCAAGTGCTTTCGGAAATGCCTTGGGCGCTCGTAGAAGGACGACTTGTCTCGCCCTCGGTTTCGGCCCCATGTCGACACGCATCGGCATGCGCGGTCGAGGTGGCTAGTTAGGTACAAGTCGAGGACCACTCATAGCAACAGCCGTGGACACTTGCCATCCGGTAATCCAAGAAAGCGAACTCCCCTGCGCAATGCCCGCGTCACTAAGCCTGGGCGGAGCCGCGTTCCAATCGCCGCCGATGACGAAGGGTGCGTTGCAATGCTTCAGACACTGCGCGAGTCTCTGCAACCGCCCAGCATTGGGAGAGACAAAGCCAACTCCTTCCCCCACGTAGATGGATCCCGCAATGAAGCCACCCTTGGCCCAGCGTGACCATATATCGCCACGCACCAAGCAAATATCAAAACGTGGTCGTAAACACTGGGAAACGCATCCAACGTCGTGGTCCCGATGTTCCACCGGACAAAAATGGCAGTGCCTGCCTGAGGCTTCCCAGGCGGTCCTATGGTGTAGGTAATAATAAATGGCTTCCATCCGCGCGCAATGCTCCACTCCTCAAATTTCAGCTATATGCCGCCTGAGAGCCGTACCTCCTGCGCAGCAGCAATGATTGCCCCATGTGCGCCTTCTTCCAGATGGTCACGCATACGAGGCAAGCTAGACGTGTTGCATGTCACCATGCGGAGCGCACAGCGCCGAGATCGCCTGCCAGCACGCCGTGAGCGCGCAGTAGGCATGAGCACCCAATCGATGTACAACTCACCCGTATCCGACCTCGTCCTCCATTGGGGCTGGCAACGCTGGAGAGTCCCATGCTGCCCCTCGTGGATGTGGATGTGTATTTGGCAAGCCCGGAATATCAACAGCTGCAATACCTGCTGGCTGCGTAGATGACTGACCATCTGGAGACACTGTCGTAGTGGCAGGTGTCGCTGCTTCCGAAGCTGGCACCAGTGACTGTCGTAGCTGCGCAAGCTCTGTGGGCAATTTGCCGCCTCGTTGCCCGCAGTACACGCGGCAGGCGCAGAAATGATGATGGTCTCCAGCCTGCCCAACGCATCCAATATGTCTCGCGTGGACGCTGTAGCCGTAGTCGAAAGGACTGCAGCACGTGCCACCGAAACTTCAACATTGATCTTGTCCAGTTCAACCTTGGCAACCTTGGGGGTCTCCTGCTTCTCGGCCAGTTGCTTCTCCATCACTGATACAGACTCTGCAATCTCCTGTATCTCCCTGCTCTTGGCCGTCTGACGGTCAAGTGCACGTCGGAGAAGGTCATCCGGAGAGCGCAAGGTACGTTCCTTCTGCTCTGCCTCTGCCAAGTCGGCGCGCGCCTGGGCAACCACCGCAGACGTCTCATCGAGCCTCAGCTTGCGAAAGGCTGCCAATGCTCGACGGGCACGGGTGACTTCATCCGCTGCACTAGCAGTGGAGCCAGCTCCTGTCTGCGGTGAGTCCTGATCTCGCTCCGCGGCTGGAACACGATCCCTGGACTGAACTCGCATTGGCCGTGACACAAGATTGCGGTCTGGTGTGCCCGTTTTGCTACGCCCAAATTGAAAGCAGTGAGAATTTGAAGCGTACTTTTGCGTGACTCCACACTGCCTCGTCGCCGCGCACGCCCACCTGGGATCACGCTGAGGTTCACCATCTCGTCTTGCTGCGGAGGCTGCACGAGTCCGAGCATCCTTGCGTCCCATCAACTCCGAGCCGTGGTGAGTAGATAACCCCTATTGCGATCCGCTCCCTTAGATACTCTCGGCCTAATGTCGTCGTCGCCGTAAGCGTCGATGCCAGGCAGGAGAGCGAGAGCGGGCGGGGAAAGGGATCGCGACAAAACTGCGACAGCGTCGAAGCACAACGCTGCCTGGGGTCGTGGTGGACGGGCCAGAAAGAGCCTCGAGCCACAACGCCTAGTGGTAGTGGTAGTGGTTGTGGTAGTGGTAGTGGTAGTGGTAGTGATAGTAGTGGGAATGGCATTGGAAGGGGAAATGGAAGGCAGATATGGGAGGAGGAGGAGAAGGAGGAGGTGGTGCTTTGGGAAAAGAAGAACCACACTCAGGATGTGGGGGAACACACAATGTGCCTTTTGCAATCTCCTGCCTCTCCCCCCCGCCACTCCACCATATTCCTGGGTCGGACGAAGTGGGGGATAGCAAAGGGGGAGGAGTAGAGAATCACATCGCGCAACTGCTCTTACCAGGTCGGACGAGGGAGGTGCCAACAGATACGCCCTGCAGATGCACGCAGCAGGTTTCGTACCCCTCACCTCTTTCCAGATCCCCCGTCCTTTTTCGTCCGACCACTTTCTCCATCCTCCCTAACCCCTGGCTGTTGGCCTTGGTGGAGGGGTGCAGCACGCTGCCAGAACGAACCACAGCGGCACCGACGGGAGGAGGAGGGGAGCAGAATCACCTCTGGCCAGGCGTGCGCGCGAGCGCGCAGCGAGGTGGCGATGCAGTCGATCGCACAGACGGCGGCCCCTCACACGCGCACGGCCTGCGCCAGTGCCTGCACGTCGGCCTGCGCTGGCCAGCCCGTCTCCTGCAGCCTCTTCTCCCTGTCCTGCTGGCGGTGGGCCTCCCGCCGGTAGGCGAAGTAGTCTACCATGGCGCAGCAGGTGGTCAGGGCCGCCGTCACGCCAGCGATGGCCACCGCCGCCCAGGAGTACCTGGCCGCCCTCGCCGACATCGCAGCGACGGCCTCCGCCCGCTGCAGCGTGTAGCTGGCGCCGCTCTCGGCCTCGCCCTCGTCCTTGCCTGGCTCCGCGAGGAAGGCCGAGCGCGCCGCCGCCCCGCCGCGGCCGGGCGCTAGCGGGGCCGCGCACGGGCCCGCCTCTGGGCGGACAGACAGGCACCGATACCGCGCATTCCAGGACCTCTCCCGTGGCACGTTCTTAGAGGCCTCCTGAATGGGATCGGAATATATAGGGTCGGAGGATCGCGCCGCATCGGCGATGCATCGGCGATGCACCGGCGATGCACAATCGACGTGGGCGATGCATCGGCGACGTCGACGTGAAGCAAATCGGGCTTCACATCGAGCCGCATCGCCGATGCATCGTCGGTGCGGTACGATCCTCCGACCCCATCTGCTCCGAGCCCAGCTAGGAGGCCTAGAGTTCTGGCCAGGAGATCGCCGCGAGTCCAGCCGTGACGGCGAGGGCTCTCCGTGGCGAGCAGCGCCATCGGCACCTCTGCCTTCCCCCTGGGCCTCCGCGAGAAAGGCCGAGCGCGCCGCCGCGCGCTGGAGCGACCCGCTGCCCAGCAGGGCCCCGCCGCGGCGGGGCGCCGTGGCCTCGGCGAGAAAGGCCGAGCGCGCCGCCGCGCGCCGGGCCCGCGGCGCCAGCGGCGCCGCGGAGATGAAGTCCTCGCAGCCGCCAGGCGGTGGCGAGGCCTCCACGCCCGCGCCGGCGGCAGCGCGGCAGCGCGGGGCGGCGAGGAACGCGGCCGCCGCGCCTGACGACGCGAGCACCATGCCGCCGCGGGTGAGGGGAAGGCGCGCGGGGTATGCGCGGGCGCCTGGGCCAGCGTGGCTGCGAAGGGCTGCTGCTGCAGCTGCTGCTGCTGCTGCTGCTGCTACTGCTGCTGCTGTGGCCCTCCTGCTGCTTCTGCTGCTGCTGCTGCTGCTGCTGCTGCTGCTGCTGTTGCTTCTGCTGCTGCTGCGGCCCTCCTCCTGCTGCTGCTGCTGCTGCTGCTGCTCATGCACGTCCCTCCTACTCCTCCTCCGCCTCCGCCTCCTGCTCCTTTGTCCTCCTCCTCCTCCTCCTCCTCCTCCGCCTCCTCTCCTCAACCTCCTCCTGCTCCTCCTCCGCCTCCTCCTCCTCAACCTCCTCCTCCTCCTCCTCCTCCGCCTCCTACTCCTCAACCTCCTCCTCCTCCGCCTCCTCCTCCCTTCTCCTCCTCCTCCTCCTCTTCCTCCTCCTCCTCCTCCTCCTCCTCCTCCTCCTCCTCCTCCGCCTCCTCCTCCTCGTTCTCCTCCTCCTCCTCCTCCTCCTCCTCCTCCTTCTCTCACCCTCCGCCTCCTCCTCCTCCGCCTCCTCCCCCAGGCGAGGCTCCACTTTCTCCTCCTTCCCCTCCTCCTCCTCCTCACCCTCCACCTGCTCCACCTGCTCCGCCTTCTCCTGCTCCACCTCATCCTGGCCCTCCTCCGCGCATCACGCCGTGCACACAGGCAGCCTATAGAGCAACGCTGCACAAGAACACACATGGTGACTCAACAACAAAGTGGGCGTGCTTGGTGAGGGGGGCCACATTTCGCAAAGGAGACGAGCACGGCCCGGAGCGGCACGGCACGACCGAATGATCGGATGGCGCGCGCAGGGGTCCAGTGAGTTTTGCCTCCGAGACCCGCACGCTGCAGATCGGGTCAGGGAAGGATCAGGGAACCCCGAGAAGGCTGAAGACAGCTCAACGCGGCCCCAAGAGGGCCTCGAGGACTGCCGGAGAGTCAACCAGGATGGCCCAGGCAGGGCTCCGCCCATGGGTCTGGGATGGCTTAGCCGAGCCTCTTCGGGGGAGTATCTCAGCTGCGCCCAAAACAACTCCGAGACCCCCAACAGGTCCCCAACGGGCCTTCCGGAGGCCCCCGAACTGAAAACAATCCCAAGCAGCCTCCAGGATGAGGAACGAGAGCGAGATCGGGGCTGCGTACAGGGACGGTGTTTCGAGAACCCACGCCAGTTGAGACAGGGCGCTGAACTGGAACGGGCTTCAAACAAGAAATCCTTCCTGCTGCGCTGCTTCGCGCCAAGACTGGGCGTTCTGTGGGCAGCTGGATGGCCACGGAGGGGCAGGAGCAGGAAGGAACATGCGGGGCCGAATGAGCGGTGGAAGGTGGGGAAAATGAAGATGCCGCGGGGAGCATGCACTTACCCGCACACGGATCCATCGACACGTCATGTCGATCGACACCGTGGAGGCACGCCGTCTCGTCCGACGGTCAGGGGCTTTTCCTCATCGTGTCGCGGCGTCGGCCCCTGTGGCACGCTATACCCTATAGGCTGGTGGCGACTCGCTCTGCTTCGTGGAACGGGGGACGACAAAAAACTCGCAACGCTGATGCTGGGGGAAAGGGGCGTGCTGAGCGTGCCGCGCCGAAGCGTGGTGGGCCAGCACTGGCGGCGCGACACGCCAAACGAACTGTCCTGACTGTACGAGAAGGGTAATCGTGAAGCCGTTGGCGCGGATCTCACGCAGACGTCGATCAACGGCATCGTGCTGGCCGAAATGGGAAGCGTGACGTCCCGGCGCGCGCAGGCCGCCAGCGCGCGCACATGGTCGTTGCTGTCGTGCGGATCTTCTTGTTCTGCATCCGGTTCCGCCGAGTCCCCGTGGGACCCCTCCGCCGCTGCCCATCCCCATCCTCGTCGCTCGAGGTCTCCTGAGTGGGGTCGGCGTCGATGGGGTCGGAGGGTCGCGCCGTATCGCCGATACATCGGCGATGTATCGGCGATGCATCGGCAATGCATCGGCGAAGTCGGCGATGCGTCGGCGACGTCGGCGTGGTGAAACACATGCCCCAAAACGAGCCGCATCGCCGATGCATCGGCGATGCGGCGCGATCCTCCGACCCCATCAACTCGGGCCCCATCTAGGAGGCCTCGAGTCGCGTTCCCCCTCGACGCTGTCCCCATGCGGAGGAGGAGGAGGAGTATAATAATAATATTGCGGCATAGAGGCGCGCCGTGTCTCTGATTATCCACAGGTCCGAAGCGGGGCACGCCTGAGCAGGCCCTCGAAAAAAACTATAAAACGTAAGCGCTCTCAGAGTGCATATGGACAGGGACAGCGGAAAACGTAAACATTCTTGCACGGCAGCCAGCCGAAGTTGGGTTTAAACCAGGAACAAGCGAGAGGGCCTAGACAGGCCCCAACAGGCTCAACACAAACCCTGGGGAACCGTCGCACCGACAAGTCTGGATACAACGCGCTACACGGACATATATACCAACTGACTGTTTTTTTGTTTTCTCTCTCTCTCTCTCTCTCTCTCTCTCTCTCTCTCTCTCTCTCTCTCTCTCTCTCTCTCTCTATATATATATATATTAAAAAAGCGGCACGGCGGCAACACGGCAGCGGCGGCAGCACCTCAAGCCTGGAACGGGCCCAGGCACACATATAAACGTAAACCACGGAAGGGGAGACGAAGAGCGGAGAGTACGCCGTCGGCACTTCGACCAGCTGAATGGTGAGGGCGTCGGCGCCTTCGCAGGAGGTGGCACACGTAGTAGCATATCTCAAACCAGACAAGCGGCACGCGACACCCCCAACAGAAAAAGGTAGTGTATGAAATCCAGCGCACAATGAAGTGACCAAGCCACCTGAGTAGGGAGCCAAGCCGTAGGCGTTCAGCACGGGTCGATATGTAATACCAGAGCCACCATCAAACTCCGTAGGTGCCCCGTCGGCTGGTGCCCTCTGCCTCCTTGGTCTGTGAGAACGCCCCCCCAGCTGGTACCCTCTGCCCCCAAGTCTGGCCAGCGCCAGCGTAGGAGGTGAGCAGTGCGCACTGGGGGACTGACAGCGCAGGAGGTGAGCAGTGCATGCCGACGGGGGGACCAACAAACGTAATTACTCAGGTAAACTATGTTGAAGCATCTCTTCCATGGCCCCTGGCGGGGCGGCCCCGACCGCGCGCCGCCCGCCCACCTCCTGCAGGGCCCTGGCGAACAGGCGGCGCAAACGCGCACCCGAAGGCACTGAGCGCGCGCCGGAGCCTTCCAGCTGGCTCGGCATCTGCTCCGTCTGGTCCACGCTCTGGAGGCTGAGGTGCATCTTCTTCTTGTTCTGGTCGTAGCACTTGCTTACGCGGAATAGACGCACCTGGCCCCGGACCTCCCCCAGCGACGCTATGCACAACCATTCCTTGTACCACAGAAGCAGCTCCTCGTAGGTTTTGGCCCCCAGACTGTTCGTGCGCTCTAATAGCTCGCTGACGAACCCACGAAAGATATGCGGGTGAGGACCCAGCTGGTGGCCCCGACCCGCGTCGCGCACGTGCTGGCTGCAATTCTGGCCTTCGACGCGGGTGACTTCTATCTCGGGCAACGTCGAGTCGAGGAACCACGCGTCGATCCCGAGAGCCCATAAGTCCCGCATCATCTGGGTGGTCATGAGCACTTGTTTGATGAGGACGGCAACCACGTTATGTTGTTTCTTGTTGAACCCTGTGTCGGCGAGCGGCCCGAGACCTTTGTTCCGATCCTTGCGCGGCTCCCTCAGCTTGCCTCCCCCGACAGAGGGGGGTGGTCAAGCGGCGCCTTGACTGCCCGAGCCTGCTGCCGATCCTTGCGCGGGCGAGGCGGCTTTCGCTTTTGCTTTGCGAGGGCAACACAATAAAATAGAGCAGGTCGTCGACATAATTCGACAACGATGCGTCGACTGGGTCAGGTACCAGGGGGCGCTTGACCAACAGTTGAGGCTGCGGGGACCGATGGCGCCATTGGTTGGTAGGCGTATAAAAATCCATGCGAAATTCGCCAGGCGCAGGGGTCTCACCCATCAGCGCCCCATTAGTAAGTAATAACTGAATGTCGCCATCAGCAGCCTCGATGTGGAGTACATGCGTGCGTCGACGATCCTGCAATAGATTAGCGTCAGCCTAAGGTAAATATTCACGAAGCACTTCATCTAATCGTTCGCGCGAGCAACAGCCGCATGCATTGGTCATGTCGTCGAATGCTGCTATATGATGATTACACTCTCGTCGGAGACGCCGAGCAGTAACATGCACGGCCAAGGTCGCGTTTTCACGTCGTCGATCTGACGCGCAACCCTGATCAGCAGGTGAAGGGAGCGAAAAGGGGGCACTCTTGTAGATGCCACGGCAAATAGCACGAAACAGCGGGCACAGTCCATGAATGTATCGAGTTCCCCCGTCAGGCTGAGAGGTTTGCCAAATGTTAGAATAGCCTGCACAAGCGGGAAATCGCCCAGTAAGTCTCCAAGATGTCGCCAGCGAAGAAAAGATCGATGGAATGGTCGCCGCATCAGGGACATTCGGTTAGGCACCCGCGCCAGCAGTAGATATCATTGTGTTGCTAAAGTAATTGGGTGCCAACAACATTAACCACATCGCGCTAGGTAAGCTCCGGCGGGGTACAGCGCGGCGGCGGGGCGCTGTCTTTAGCACAGCAATCGCACGATCAAGATCACAAGCACCTTTTGCCTGACAAGTGCCCCGATCTGCGAGCCCCATGAGTGGCGTAGAAGCGCGTCGAGTCTCCAGCTCAGTAGGATCAATTGAGATGGCCCCAAGACCACCACTCGCCCCAGGGAGAGAAAGCACATCCTTGAGGTCCTGCATGCATGGGGCCTTTTTCCTCACAGCATTGCAAACGCGTCGCTTGGGGCCAAGACCAGTGCCCGCCAACCGTCTAGATAAATATTGCACAGTAGCCAGCTGTCGTTTCTTCCACGCTTCAGCCAGCTCCGCAGTCCAGGAAGAATGCAACTGGCGCCGCCATTTTCGCACGCGTCCTTTAAGTCGAGCAGAGAGGTCCCGAAGTTGATTATCATGGCGCTGGCGCGGGGGGCTCTGCTGACGAAGGCGACCGCGCAAATTAATAAGCTGCCGTGCGTCTCGTCGTAGCTGCGTCGTGAGTTCAACTGGTGAAACTTGCGACCTGGCATAATATTTCTCAGCAGCAGGAAACAATACTTTACGTATTTCACGGCATCCATTCTCAATCACCGGGGCCTCCAGGTAACCAAGGATGGCGGCCTCAGCACGGCGCAGCTGATGTACAACTTCGGCAAGGAAATCTTCACGAAATCCTGGCGTCTGCACGGCGAGGGCATGCAGATCTTCATTCCAGCACACAGACCGCCGTGGCGACACCGATGGCAACGACAGCTCCACTTGCAATAGCATCGGTGCGTGATCAATGAGATAGCCGCTGCCAGGATATAGTTGCAACTGCCGCGCCAATCGCGCCATAGTCAAGCACTTCGTCATGCGACGGCGCAGCCCAGCAGGGATAGCAAAGTGGTCAATCCACGACGCAGTATTCTTGAGTCCATGATAAGACGGCACCGTACGAACAAACGTGCCAGGGCAACACATGTGGTGCCGATGGGGAACCTCACGAAATGCCCGTCCCGCATTTCCCATTCTATGATGCGTAAAAGGTCCGATGGCAGAATACCCAGCCGCGTTGTCAGCACTAAAAGAGTCGTTAAGATCAGTATACAATAGAGGGATGGACCGATATGGTAACGCAGTAAGTTCACCACTCAACCAAGCCAATAAAATACCCACAGTCTTCTTCCAAGCACCGTGCGCACTGCCAACTGCAGGGGGGGGGGGAATAGAGAGCAACAATCGTGACAGCCACTACAGTGTTACAAATACGAACCATTCCACCACGCCCAGCAGCAGACGCGGGTGGAGCTGATGTTTGGCATATCTTGCCAGGAAAACCATGTCGCTTATGGATGCCAATAGAAACCCCGGCGCTACGATTAGTGAGAGGTCCTCCGTTCCACCTAAAGTGTATGAAATGATGCGTGCCCTGAGTCTGAGACCAAACTGCTGAAGTGGAGGTCGCACGCACACGTGGCCCCGTCAGAGCAATGAAAGACGCGCTCCGCATAGACGTAGAAATCTCTGCCAATCGTCGTGTTTGACTCAGCGAGCACGGATTGTAACCGATGAAGGTGCTGTGCATGGCCGCGTAGGCGAGACACCACGAGAACTTGGCGGTGCACAGCCCTCTCGCTCCCATCAGAAATGCAGTGGGACGCACATACTCCGAGAGTGTGTGGGGTGGGCCCGTTTGTCAGTCTCCAGGTTCTGAAATGGGCTGGAGGAGGAGGAGGAAGAGGAGGAGGAGGAGGAGGAGCAGGAGGGCCAGTGCAAACCCAAGGGTCATCAACGATGTTGGAATTTACCCTTCCTCCAAGCTCCCTCTTCATAGGCCCCTACAACGGTTCATTTCCATTGAGGGCACTGCCTCGTTGGAATACAACGGTTTGAGGACCCTGAAGCATGCCAGTGTTCTCGGGATTTCAGCGCCACGTACCAGCCTGACTGCTGGAACTTGTTTTTCTATAGCCGCGATGACGGGCGTGATCGGGGGGTGGTTGGCCCCCCCCAGTCACATCACGGTGGGTCTCGGCATCCCGAGCATTTTTCGAACCCCCGGGCCCTCGGGAGGAGGAAGATAAGGAAAAGGGAGAGTGAGCAGGGGAGGAAGACGGGATTGAGGAGGAAAGCCTGGGAACATCTTGAGATTATGTTGTTACTGCTGCTGCTCCTGTTCCTCCTCCTCCTCCTCATCATCCTTTTCCTCCTCCTCCTCTTCC